TAGCATAAACTCTTTTGCAAATACCTTGTTTGTTTCCTTACAATCCACGCGCTTCGATGTGCAAGTTCTGTGTAAACACACCCGGACAGGCCAAATCACAGGCCTTGTCTCTAAGCGATCTGTTGTTTCGCAACGCTATCTCCTTTTTCCAGGGAGAAGCCGAAAATTGTTAGTCCTGTTAGTTGTTTGGTCAATTTGTGGTCTCATTTCACTGTTGGTGTTCGAGAAGGAGGTTCCATGTGCAATTTCTTGATTCTTTCTTGTGCTCGTCTCCTAATTCACTAAAATTGCTGTTCCATTTTTTTTCTTCCATTCACAAACGTCAATGAAGATGACCTTGAATTCGTTCACACCACGTGTTGAGTGTTTTTGAGCAAGTTGAGTAGAATTCGTGAGTATGATTTTGTTCGATAGGACAGTAACTATCTCCGTGTTTTGTAAAATTGGAAACTTTCAAATGCGCACCTCTTTTGATGGTCAGATTTTGTTGCCTCCACAGGACCGTCATCTGTTCTGTTGAAGGAGCGAGATTAACACAGGTAAATTTGACCATTGCATACCGTTTTTTTCGGGATATGCGATAGACTTACCCTCACGTGGTGCACCTTGGGCAACGCATACTCATACAGCATAAAAAGTCTGTTAACCGGCAGTTGACTTCTGGCTTCTAACTACCATCACCCCACTGTATGTCATATTACACAGCTTCCACAGTACTCATCTCACCTTTTCTCTACCTTTGTGTCTATCTGTCTCTTTTACATCTTTGAATCTCTCTTCTATCCCCCCCCCCCTCCTCTCTCTCGTTTTTTCACTTTGATGTTCCTCCTCCCCTCTGTGAAGCCCGAAGTCAACTAAAGGGCTAATTATAGCCATCAAAACACCTGCCATTTGATGATATAAATAAATTAAACTGTTTTTTTTCAGTTAACTAATGGCTCCTCCTTAGTTATAATTGATGTTGACTATTGTTTTTCACGTAACACCTTCCACCGTACAGACCTTACCTCCCTCCTTCTATTCAGTTCATTGGCCTGTGGGGTGGACAAAATCTCACACCGTATTAACTGTTTTTGGCATTTCTAACATTGAGAGTGCGATTCCGGGTGACAGATGAGTAGCTGCTAAAAATTTAAGCTTTCCTATCGCGAAGGTACTCCCTACTGTAATCGGGTAAGGTCGAAGTTCCCTTACACTAACTCAAATCTCCTCCTCCTCATTATAGAGTCTCACTCCAACCTGGTGTCAACGTCGTGCAGAATCTGTGTTGAAGGTCGTCAAAGGTTCCCTAATGGAGTCTTCAGGCGTGAAAAGTGGCAGCGGCTCGCTCAAGACCCTCATCTTCCTCATTCCGCCCTCAGCGTCTTCCCAACTTAGCGTCTTCGAGTCTCTCTCTGCCCTCATAAACTCCACCTTTCAGCAGACAACTCCCATTGTCGTGGATGTTAACGGTGCTTAGTATGAATGACAATCATTTCGCACTTGATTATTATTATTATTATTTGTAATTTAATTAAATACTTCGATTGTATTCACTTCCTTTTATTGGAGTATTATTTACCTCTCTCTCTCTCTCTCAGGAGCTATTAGATAGTTTTTCCTGTGATTTTTTTTCGATGCTTTAGTTGCTCTCCAAATTTGTATTGAAATAGTGTAGGTGGTAATTCCAGATAGTTGGAGTGTTTTCGTCTAGTGGGTCGAAAGTACCCACCCTCCTTTGTAAGATGCATTTGGGAAAGAAACTGCATTAAAGACAGGTACTACACAATTTCTCTCTTCTGTAAAGTTGCATCAAGGGCAGTGGAAATTCTCCCTCACGGAACGTGCCTATAGGAAAATCGTCATCCTAAAGCGTGTGGAACCCTCCAACAACAGAAACAAAGTTTACCCATTATTCCAAGTCACGTGGTTCCTGAGCCCTTTACCATTTCCACCAGTTGACAGTTGAACTCCCGGACACGATTGCCTGGCAAAACGCCTTCACAGATTGGGAGTATAACTCAACTCACATGCCCTCTATGTAACCTACAGGAGGAAACGGTTGCCTGGCAAAACACCTTCACAGATTGGGAGTAAACACTCATGCCCTCTATGTAACCTACATGAGGAAATGGAGAAGACACACCTGATTCGATGTCCAGCCCTAAAGAGAAGACCCACCTGATTCGGTGTCCAGCCCTAAAGACAGGAAGACCCACCTGATTCGGTGTCCAGCCCTAAAGACAAGGAAGACCCACCTGATTCGGTGTCCAGCTCTAAAGACAAGCAAGAAAGCCAGAGATACTGGGAAGCAAGAAGACAGCTAATGAGCTGAAAGCAGAGTACGGGGAAGCAAGAAGACTGCTAATGAACTGCTATTAATTAACCGCTATAAATGTAAGAAGCAAGAAGACAGCTAATGAATTGCTATTAATGAACTGCTATAAATGTAATTAAGCCAGATACGGGGAAGCAAGAAGACTGCTAATGAACTGCTATTAATTAACCGCTATAAATGTAAGAAGCAAGAAGACAGCTAATGAATTGCTATTAATGAACTGCTATAAATGTAATTAAGCCAGAGATACTGGGAAGCAAGAAGACAGCTAAATGAACTGCTATTAATTAACTGCTATAAATGTACCCCCCTTCATGAACGAAGAAGACAGCTAATGAATTTCTATAATTAACTGCTATAAAGACCCACCTGATTCGGTGTCCTGCCCTAAAGACAACGACGGAAAACCGAGATACTGGGAAGCAAGAAGACAGCTAATGAATTGCTATCAATTAACTGCTATAAATGTACCCCCCCCCTACCCTTGGGTGTAATGAACTGCTATTAGTTAACTGCTATATATGTACCCCCTACCCTAGGGGGAAGCTGAAGTCAAAGATTAAGGGCTAATGATAAATATCATAAGGCCTGTCATTTGAAATAAATAAAATAAATAAACAGTTGAACTCCCGCCAATTTGAAAGGTGATTTTCTTTCGATTGTATTGCCCTCCTGTTCTTTGAAACATGAGGCCAATGCATAGCTGTGTTCTGTACTATACAATCGAACCATCACTTTTCCTTCACTGCGGTACCTGGATAATTTTAATAAATGACTTGTTACCGTTTTGGCCCTGTGTCAAACAGCAGTTTTAAGCCTTAACCGATTTGCTGTTGCAGAAACAGGCCACATATTTTAGTCAAGAGAGCATTAAAATGATCCCTTTAAGACAAAGCCATTCAGAAGATAAAATCAAGTTTCTAACCTGGTGTGTGTGATAGACTTACCTCCACGTAGTGCACCCTGGGCAACGTATACTCATACGGCAAAAAAGTCTATTACCTGGCAGTTGACTTCAAACTACCATGACCCCAGTGTATGTCATATTCGACTACTTCCACAGTACTCATCCCACCTTTTTCCATTTTATCTACCTTCGTCGTCGATACACTCTTCTGTTCCCCCCCCCATCTTGAATCTTTTACACTTTGATGTTCCTTCCCCTCTGTGAAGACTGAAGTCAACTAAAGGGCTAATGATAACAATCAAAACGCCTGCTATTTGATATAATAATAATAATAAGTTTCTAACCTCTATCGAATTCGGCGCTTAACACGTTGCCTACATCTCATGAGTGGGTTTGTTGAACCGAGTGATATTTCCCAGTAAAAAATTGCTTGATTTTTAAGTGCAGCCATTCCTCAATACCCATATCTTCTTAACCAATCGATTTAATTAATATTACTAATGGTAAATGTGACATTTCCACCAGACAAGGAAAGTATGTTCCTATTGGCAAACGCAACACAACATGACTTGTAGTAGCTACACCGAGTTGCTGGTAATTAATTATTTTGTTGTTCAAGGAGGCATGCAGCAGTATTCCTTCTTAAAATAATCTTACCCCCTGGAAGTGATGTGGCGGGGGGGATTTCCGCCAACATATCTGCTCTTCTTGAGATGTTTCCGCCAATTGGATATGGGTGACAGCATCCTACGAATGAATATGTGTTAACCCCTAGATTCACTACTTGTCAGTTATTCTTGCATGCGTTTCTAACTGCTTTGCAAGGGAGGGTATTTGGTAAAGTGGCATTCGCATATCTGTCTGTAAAATTTGCAATCCATTTGTTAACATATCTTCTTTTTCATCTACGTAAAGTCCACCATAATTGGCTGATGTGGTATGTTGCGCATTACTTCGCACATATCACCACCGAGTCGATATAGTTCCAATTAGTCGTTTCGATGTGCAGTGTTTGTTTTCTTTATACTTTGTTTTAAAAAGTTAGTTCATTTCGCTTCTCCTTCAATTAAAATTACTTTGCCCAATATTGGCGGTTTTCTTGCACTATTGATTCATGATGGTGCACCAATGATTATGAGCGAAAAAAAAACAGAAAAGATTAATATCATTGGATAATGTTCAAGTAATTTGATGTGTAATCATCTGAAATAATAATGCAGGGAATTTTTCCTTGGGCTTCTATTGCTGATGAACTCATCTCAAACACGAAAACTGGATGCAATTAGGAGACAAATATTTATTTATTTCAAATGGCAGGCGTTTTGATAGGTGTCATTAGCCCTTTAGTTGACTTCGGGCTTCACAGAAAGGAAGAGGAACATCAAAGTGACAAAAAGTCGAGACTTCACAGAAAGGATGAGGAACACCAAAGTGGCAAAAAGTCATACATACAGAAAGGAAGAGGAACACCAAAGTGGCAAAAAGTCGAGAGAGGGGGACAGAATAATGATTCACAGACGTAAAAGAGACAGGCCTTCACAGAAGGAAGGTTCATCAAAGTAGCAGAAAGTCCAAGGGTTGAGGGAAGGTGCATCAAAGTAGCAGAAAGTCGAGGGGTAGAAGAGGGAAGGTCCATCAAAGTAGAAGAAAGTCAAGGGGTGGGAAAGGAAAATGAACATCAAAGTGGCAAAAAATCGAGAGGGGGAACAGAATAATGATTCACAGACGTAAAAGAGACAGACAGATACAAAGGTAGAAAAAAGGTGATGTGAGTACTGTGAAATTAGTCGAATATGAAATGCAGTGGGGTGAGGGTAGTTTGAAGTCAAAAGTCATCTGCCGATTAATAGACCTTTTTGCCGTATGAGTATACGTTGCCCAGGGTGCACCACGTGGAGGTGAGTCTATCGCACACCCCCAGGAGACAAATATTAAATAATGAAAATGTATATCCCCCCCCCTTACTTGACACTCTGATTTCTGATTTTGTACTTCCTTCACCACCACCACCACTGCTGTTGCGTAATTTTTAAGTAAACTGTCACGGTTTCTTAAGGTCACTGAACTGCGAAAGTTCGCATTTGCTGAAATGACTGACAGCAACCGTTTGCTGAAATACCTGAATTGTGGCATATATTTTTTTGCCTGTACTTTTGACACGTATGTGGCTTTTTTCAGCAAAAAAATTCCCCTTTTCGATGGTATTTCAAGTAATTATTTGCCCAAAAAAATTGCATAGCCATCCCTCGGTGAAATCTTCGAAAGATCTCAGTGGACGAGGACTCAACAGCACATTGATCATTGCTGATTGGGGTACGCAGACCGAATTGCTTCGATAATTGATCAGTGATATCACTAGGCGTTTACAACACACACTCAACTCTTTGAATATTGTAACCAGGAGGGTTTTAAGATGTCAGTCGATTTCGTACCATGATGATGATGATGCTAGGACCATCGCTCCAGCTAGCATAGCCCTAAGAAAGACAATTTAGAAGACCAATTAATTTGTTTTCAGCAAAAAAAGTATTTAAACAAGGCCACATTAAGTACATCTGACAGACAAAGTCAGCGTTCGCATTAAAAAAAGATAATTTTTTTCCATTCATTAAAGTGAATTTCAAGTCCACCCAGGTAATAGACAAGATGTCTTTCATACCTGGAAAAGAATTCCAAATTAACTATTGATTGCTTAAATTATTATTTAAATATTAAATTTTGTCGAAATTCATCCTATTTTATTTTTTGTTACTCCGTTTGAATACTTTTTTCACAGATTATCCACTGGTAGACAAGTAATTTATGCGAATTCTTTATTTCTATTATTTACTTATATTAACAAGTAAATAAATAAACTGTTGCCAATCTAATAAACAAACTGTCCACAACAAGAGTGTTTTTGTCGGCTTACTTTGGTGTGATTTTCGCAAAAATTGGTGCTAATCTATCCACAATCATTCTTTTGCGTGACAAATCCTGATATTGCCTTAAT